TGTTCGGGGTGGGCGTGGCTCCAGGGCCCCCTACCCAGCCCCCCGAGCCCCATTTCCAGCTCCGAGTCCCATATCCAGCCTTCCAAGATCAGTTTCCAGCTCCCTCCAAGCCCCATGTGGTGCCTTGCAGCATCCATCAGGAATGCTGTGCCAAGGAGCGCTCCTGGCAGCTGTTTCCCCCGCATCCTGCGGAGCTCAGGGTGGGAGAGGTGACCTTATCCTGCCAGGATGATGGGAAACCATCTAATGAGCTGTTGGAGGGAAGGTGGCCAGGGCAGCCAGGGGCAGATTAATGTCTGTGGAGATGAAGATGCAACATGAGGGCAGTGAGTAGATCTGAGGCAGGGAGAGCATCGTGCTGGTCCCGATGGCAGAGCCAAGCGGGGAACAGCCAGTCTCTGGGTACCCCTGGCACTGCTGATGTACCCCAAGGAAAGCACCAGCTACACAAAGAACAGGGAGCTCTGCTCGGTGCGTTTTACCCCTACCTGGGGTTTGCAGTGGGGTGCAGGAGCAGGGCTGCTGTGTGTGCCCCATGGCAGGGGAGCAGGTTGCACACCCAGCCCAGGCCCATGGCTCTGGGTGAAAGCGCCTGGCTCATCAGTCCTGCCGCAGGGAAGGGAGGCAGGAATTGCCATAACAACAGCCGCGATCGTTTGATTTGATTTTCTGCATGACTCCGACCATGGGGTCTCGGGCACTAATTCCCACTCTGAGCTCAGGGTTGAAGACGCCGTGTCCCCTGTGAGCAGGTCCAAGGGTTAATTCCCATCATGTCAGGGATAAATAAAAGGAGAAGATGCAGTGAATTACTGCGCTGCCAGCCCTGAGGCTGTTGGGAAGCTGTGGAGCTGCAGCCTCTCCTGCCCAGAGCTGCCTCCCCCAGCCGGATCAGAGCTGGGTTTGGGCACGGCAGGCGATAGGCATGGGGCTGGTGGCAGCATGGGGGGGTTGGGTGCCCCCCGCTCGTGTGCTTGGGGTGCTGCAGATCACGAGCTGTGGGGATGAGCCTGGATTCATCGGATGAACAGGGAGCTGCTCCCACTGAGCTCCTCTCTCTGCCTTCCCCTCCCCAGTGCGACCAGTACAAGAAAGGAATCATTTCTGGCTCCACGTGCAAGGACCTGTGTGAGGAGCGCAGCCTCCTCTTCCAGCACTGCCTCTCCTCCTCTCCCACCCAGCAGGTAGGTCCTTGCTCCACCGGGAAACCCATTATAGGGCTGGGAGCAGGCTTCAGATTGGGGAATGTCCTCACCCGGTCCCTGTTCTGGCCCCATACTGGACCAGAACCCAGCTTTCTGCTGTTTCCTCCCGTCTCAGCGTGTCTCTTTGCCATTGCTGCAGGTTTACAGCGGGCTCTGGAGGGAGACGGAGGTGATCATCAAATGTGGCATCGAGGAAGCCCTGAAGGCAGACGGGCACCCAGACTCTGTGCCCAGGAGGGACGTGGTCCTCTTCGACAAGCCGACACGAGGGACGTCGATGGATGAGTTCAAAGAAATGCTGCTCAACTTCCTGAAGGTCAGTGCCGGGGTCCCTCCGGGATGCCACTTGGAAAGACTAATTGTGTCTTTTGTTCCCCTTGAATGAGAGCTCCTCTGGCCCACGCTTCCCCAGCGGTGCAGGGGGCCAGGCAGGGCTCCTTACTGTGTCCTGGAGCTATGGGGTTCCCTGAGGAATGGGCTGGCCCCGGCGCAGGAGGTGGTGGGGACAGGGACAGACAGTGGCTCCAATTCACAGCTTCTCTGGGCACCCTGTGCCAGCGCCTCAGCACCCTCACAGGGAAGAGCTTCTGCCCAAGAGCTCATCTCAATCTCCCCTCTGGCAGGTTCAAGCCTTTCCCTTTGTCCTGTCCCTACAGGCCCTTGTCCAAAGCCCCTCTCCAGGTTTCTTGTGGCCCCTTTGGGAGCTGCTCTAAGGTCTCCCCTTCAGGAGCCTTCTCTTCTTCAAGCTGAACCAGCCCAGCCCTCTCAGCCTGTTTTCATAGGAGAAGAGGAAGCTTCTTCCCACCTGGCTCTAGAGCAGCCCTGAGGCTGGGGAAATTCTGCTGGAGCTGAATTGGTCCAACCATCCACAGTGCTATGGCACCGAGTTTGCTCAAGCACAGTGGCTGTTCCCTCCTCTCCCAAGCCCAGTCCTTTGCCTCCCCAGTTCAGTTTAGTGATGTGAAGCCCGAACACAGAGAGCTGCAGGGGTCTGATGGCACTTGTCCTGTTCTGGTTCTGTTCACAGTCCAAGCTGGGAGATCAGCCTTCCCTTGCAGCCCTGGTGAGCCGGATCATCGGCATGGCAGATGTGAACCGGGATGGGAAAGTGTCTTTAGCAGAGGCCAAATCTATCTGGGCTCTACTTCAGCTCAACGAGTTCCTTCTCATGTTCTCCTTGCATGAGAAAGAGCACACTTCCAAACTACTGGGGCACTGCGGGGACCTCTATGTCACCGAGAAGATCCCCCACACCTCCCTCTATGGGGTGGATGTTCCCCCGTTCCTCCAGCCGCTGCTGCCTTCGGTCGTGCACCAAATCATCCACCAGTGGTTCGCTCCAGCGTGGCCCCGGCGGGCGAAGATCTCCATCGGCCTCCTGGAGTTCGTGGAGGAGATCTTCCACGGGACCTACGGGAACTTCTACATCTGCGAGGCCAGCGTGAGCAACGTGGGCTACAACGACAAGTACGACTTCAAGATGGTCAACCTGCGGAAGGTGGCGACGGAGATGACAATCCGAGGCTTCCTCAAGGGGCGTCACTGTGAGCAGAACGTGGACTGCACCTACGGGAAGGACTGCACGGCCACGTGTGACAAGCTCATGAAGCAGTGCAAGAGCGACGTGGTGCAGCCCAACCTGGCCAAGGTGTGCGGGCTGCTGCAGGACTACTTGCTGTACGGGGCACCGCTGGAGCTGAAGGAGGAGCTGCAGAAGCAGCTCCGAACCTGCATGACCCTCAGCGGCCTGGCCAGCCAGATGGAGGTGCACCACTCCCTTGTGCTCAACAACCTCAAGACCTTGCTCTGGAAGAAGATTTCAAACACCAAATACTCCTAATGGGGGGAGCACGGCCCTGGAGTTTAGAATCCGCAGTCTTGGAGTAGCGTCCAAGGGCTGAAGGCCTGTTTCTCCATCCTCTCTCCCACAGGCAAATACACCCTGCGCAGGGAGTTCAGCGTAGCTGCAGCCCCTTCTCCCTCACGGCAAACCAAGCGTCATGACTTCCACCGCCCAGCAGGATCATCGGGATCATCCATAGAGCCGGCAGGAGCGTGCTGCGGAGCCGGGACAGCGGGGCCGGGCTCAGCCTGGGGGAAGATGAGACGGAAAGCAAGGAGGAAGCGGAGCCCAGCTGGAGGCATCAAACTGTTCCTTGATTAACAGGAAAGCAGCGCAGAGATGAGGATGAATCATTCGTGCTGTTCTTGTCACATCATCTTTGATGAACGTCTCTGATGTAAATAAATGGCTTTTACGTGAATCCCACCAGCACATCGGTAGCGACACAGCAGCCTCTGAGCACCAGCCTGCTCGGGATCTGGACAGGAGCAAAAGGTAGATTTCCCCATTCAAAAGCATCTCCTAGAGTGTCTGAGTCATCTGCCACCAGATCCAGCTGTGGCTTAGGAAGCAGATCAGCTTTTTCCACAGCGGAGAGGCCTGGCAGTTCCATCATTCCTTCTGAAGTGCCTGCCCAAGACAGGGATGTGGTGGCTCGTGCCAGGCTCCCACCAGCTCCTGCCCACAGCCCGGAACTGGCAGCACAGGCCATTCCCTCTCACCCGTTCTGGCTTTGGAAGCACCTAAAGCCAGGAATAGCTTCAAGGAAAAGGCTAAACCTGAGCAGTTCTGACTGTGTGTTACTGCCCACAGTGCTCAGAGCAGGGATAAGCCAACCCCTGGGTTTAATTCTCCTAAACCTAAACTGGGCTTGCACTGCAGAGGTTAAAGATTAATACCAGAATAATCCAGTGCTGCTCTCATTAGTAAAATGAATCCGCACGCAAGGTTGCGGCAGGCTCCCAGACACTTGGCTGCCTGCGTAGATGCTACAACACAGTTCTAGCTATAGTCTGTTTCCTTTAAAAACTCAACCACAGCAACCTTTCAAACCTGGGGGTAGAGGGGAGGAGTTCGTGTGACCTACCCCAA